AAGATCCAACGGTGCGTGGTGGGAAACCCGCAAGAGAAACAGATGAAGAAAAGTTCGAGAAAGAGGCTCCATCGGTCGTACAAATCACACCTTCGGGAAAGCAGGTTCGGGTGCAGGTTGGCTGGGATCACGGGTGTTGCGCATCAGACATAAGAGCACGCAAAGGCATTCCATCAACAGCCCCTCCGAGGTTTTGTACAATTCACGTTCTAAATCGATCAGCATCCACATACAGGTATTAGAGATAAAAGAACCATCAACAACACAGGGGGGGAGAGATCAGACAACAGCACTGGGACTCGAAAACATGGTAACGAGCGAAAATGAGAAATTGATTTCATTGTTAGCAAACAATAAAGCAGATCGGGCTCGATCTGCTGGGGTGAAGGCTAACAATCTGAGAATAGGGACAGGCTCGGACTCCTCTCTTTACCAATCAATTACGTACAGCCGTGTCAAAGCCTCATAGAGGGTCACCCATGACTGTGTCAAACAATTACGCATGGTCGTCGCTCTCTGCACTATGCCTTATCCACGACTCCCGGTGTTGGCAGTCCCAACTTCAGAGGCTCGGCTGTCGGTGATGAGCCTAGTTCTATTTTGTCACGACTCATGAAAACTGAAGACGGTAACCTAGTGGCAATCATGGCGGATGCGGATCAACCTCGATCCTTTATTGTTTCCTRCAAYGGAMACCTACCCGCGGTCAGCTATGAACCAGAATAAGGTAAGCAAGCTGATTTGCAACAACACGTACAGCAAGCACCCTCAGCGCTTYATCCTTTCTACTGCAGACAGACGCAGCACTTCATCCTTTGCAACAACGCGTATTGCAGCACTTCCGACATGGCTTACTTGCCGAGAGGTGTGACCGTTGCGGTTGCGCAAGGGCGCTTGCACTCTCCCAGGACACACTTCTCCCCGGTGGGACACTCACAATCCTTGCAGCACTTTTGGCACGGACCGCAGGGCACACAGCGCTTCTGTCCGTTGGGGCAGCACGGAAGCTTGCACTGTCCCTTGACGCACTTCTGCCCCTTGGGACAATCGCAATGCTTGCAGCACTTCACGCAGGGACCGCCCTTGCAGCAGCGCTTCAGTCCAGGCGGGCAGCCGCACTGGGGCTTGCACTGTCCCTTGACACACTTCTGCCCCTTGGGACAATCGCAGTCCTTGCAGCACTTCACGCAGGGACCGTCCTTACAGCAGCGCTTCAGTCCCTTGGGGCAGCAAGGGGGCTTGCACTGTCCCTTGACGCACTTCTTCCCGGGGCCACAGTCACAGTCCTTGCAGCACCTCACGCACGGACCGTCCTTGCAGCAGYGCTTCAGTCCAGGGGGGCAGCCGCAGGACGGCTGACACTCGCCCTTGACGCACTTCTTCCCAGGGCCACAGTCGCAATCCTTGCAGCACTTGACGCACGGACCGTCCTTACAGCAGCGCTTCGWCCCAGGTGCGCAGGGACATGGCGCCTTGGCATCTGCGACATGGAGGGCGCAAGCCAGGACGACTAAGCTCACAACGGCCAAGGCCGCAGAAAACCGACCCATCTTTGCGACCGACACGACTTTCGCTTGAGAGGTTATGGTTGGCGACTTCAAATTTCCAACAGCGCACCCTGCAGCATCAGGAGAGACAAGCACCGAGAAAAAGAGAGCAACGCAGCGATGTGACAAGTAAGTATTACGATTGGTCCGCTTCGACAGTTAACCCGGCAACACGCATCATCATCACCGTCATGGCGTCACAAACGACTTGCCCTTAGCCTCGTACCCACCGCGCAGCTCTCTACGACCTTTGTGAGCTACCACACAAATACGAGCATCACACACAGATAAAAAACCAAAACGATATCAAACAGAGAAGACAAGAAGTGTTATCGCGGTAAACAACGAGTTTCAGACCCCAACAGAAGAGCGAGACTCAAACGTTGGTCAGGCGCTCGAGGGTACAGGAGCTTAAGACGCGCAGCAGATTCGGTGGTGATCGCCATGAGCATCATCAAGTTGGCAACAGTGTCACACACACCGTGACACACACACTCACATAGACAACGATTCAGAATGAAGCGGTCAAAGAGAAGCTGGAGTGGGGGGAGCTCGAACGCGACTCCGCTAAAACAGCCAAGTTGAAAGGCGGAAGAGAGGGAAGACATTCGAACGCGAAGGTAGACACGGGGAGTATTAGTATTTGGAGGAAAATTTTGAAACGGGAAGCTTCTCTTTCGCGCGACGGACTGTCTGAGAACCGTACGCAATCTGCTGTTCGACCCGATGGAAATGTGGCGTCATGACTTCTGCCTAGAACGCAACAATGCTGAACTGCACACGACGAGACTGCAAACACCTCTCTCTCGCACTCAGCAAGTAAATTGAGCGCATGATTTTGCCCCTACTTCATACTAAACGAAAACTTTGACCAAAAACGCCGGAAGATGCAGCAAAGAGGCAACCAGATTCATGTGCAGACCAGGCAGGCTCGTCAGCACCAGCAACACAAGCACGACATAGACATACGTTGACAGCGACTCGGAAGTCGTCAAAGCAAACACGGAGTACAGAGAGGGGAGGCGGCGCGAGAGTCTGGCAACGGAGAGAGTGACCAACTGGTGGAGGGAGAAAACAAAAAACGATCATGAGAAAGAGAAAAGCGGAGGATTGCCGGGTAGGAGGGAATTCGAGACCGGAAGCGCGGAAGCTTGTCTTTCTTGCCGAAATCGGAAAACCACCGCGCGATCTTCCGCTTCAATGACAGTCAGACGACGACACCTCAGCAACTCGATTGGGTGCACGACGGAAGCTTCACACGAAGGAAGCCATATTGCACACCAGGGAAGCTTCATTGCTGCATACTACGGAAGCAGTTAACTTCCAATAATAAGCAGATCACCACAGCACTTCGAGAATCTCTACACAATTGCTGACAACCTTCTTTCATTTGACGTACGGCTAGTTGGACCTTCCGACACAATTGCTACGTAGTCTCTCCTGTCTACCTCACGACCATGAGTTCTGAAACCTCCCCAAACTGCTCCACAGACACGCCGCACAACTTGCACAAACAACGGCGAAAGAACCTCAGAGACAAAAAGCGAACCAAACAGCCGAGAGCGAAAGGGGAGGTGGGGGGCGAGAGAGAGGGGGAGACAGACACAGCGCCCTTCTCCACTCGAAGGGAACAGAGTGCGACTTGTCCTTGCTATAGGCCAAGATTAATTGCCGATTCGCTTCTGCCTACTCTTTTCCATCCGCATCATTTGCAGGTCTCGCGGAAAGAGAAAAGAGAACGAAACAGAGAAAAAAGAGTCCAAAGAGAACGAGGGCCTTAATTTAGTCCATACCACGGAATGGCGAGGCAGACAAGCAAGACGAAAACCGGAAGCAGAAGAAAGCCAGGAAGACATGGGAGAACATAAGAAAGAAGGTACATGTGGCTAGGAAAGTGCGGACCAGACAGGAAATAGGAAAAGGACGTAACGAAAGGACGGAACGGAAAACGAGTGCTCTATTGCTGAAGCGAGTACACAGAGCCACTGCTCACCACATACCTTGCTCCAAAAGGACACAATCGTAATCACCCCCCCGTACGGTTGCGAGCACGCTTGATCTAGGAGGCGTGTAAGATCTCCTTTTATTCCTTCATCACATGCGCCATCTTCTTCGCTACCGCCCGCCTCCACAAGACCCGCAACGCGGAACTTCTTGCCGCCAAGTCCTATACTCCCAGTTGCAGGTGCTGACGTGCACTGCTCTCCTGTCTTGCTTTTGTTTTTCTTCTGTATACACGTGTTATGAAAGGGCGCTTCATTGATCAGACCAGGGGTAAGAGCACCTGCCCGATGAAGGGTCCGATTCTTTCCGTAATGGCTCCAGACAATCCGAGAGGAGCGTCGCGTGCTGGTAACTGGGGGCAGCATGGCCCCTTTCAACACCATTTCAGTACAAGGGCATACCCAGACTAGGACTTTCTCTGCTTATTTCTGGACCGGATTGCCCGTAGATTCATCTAGGTCTGGCTGCAATTGCCGCCAGATACATTTAGCAAATTGCCAGTGTGAGTATGCCCTAGGAGAGATATAGGGCCTCGCTGCACGACTCTGGAAAGGTGCAAGACGAGAGTGAATCTTCCGCTAGAACATGGAAAGATTCGGCGACATGATTTTTGTCTTTTGTGCATTTCAAGAGTAGTGCAGCGACGCCCATAGATTGCCCCGTCCCCGCCTTCGATGCACTCGTTTTCATTTTGTTTTTTGTTGTCTGTGCCATGCGGCGAGGTCAGTACTCGTGGGCAGTTCGGCTATTTGCGGCAAATTCGCCACTGACAGCAGTAGCCGCGTTCTGCGCTGATACTCTGGTGGAGCTAGCTACATTTTTTTTTTTTACCAGTCGAATCTGGACAGGCCAGCCTTTCAGGCCTTTTTTATTGTCATTATAGTATTACGGGGAACCCACCCCGTAGCAGCCACATCCGTGCTCAAGCCTCCAACGAGGGAGCATGCAACGAGGGAGCATGCGGGAGCTGCACCCAGCAGCAGGTGCTATACCTGCTACATCAGGTGGACGTGGGCGATACCGGCCAGGGGTCAGCCGGTAGCATCAGGACCGAGCTTCTTCGATGGGCCAGTCGCTGTGCCTCCCCTCCGGTGGTGGTCCCCTCCACCTATGAACATCGGCAGTCTCTGCAAAATGCCACTCCGGGGGACCAACGGCATATCTCTAAGTGGCGGGCACCAAGCTTGCCCAGGAAGGTGCAAGAGGCCAATGGGAATTGAACCCTCTTGAATGCCACTTGCGTGCCTTACCAACTGAGCTAGGCCGCGTTGGTTCGAAGTTTGTTTTCCTTTTTTAGAACCACTGATGTGGTGGATTTGCCGCAAATAGCCGATGTCCCTTCCCAAACGTCAGATCAGAAAAAAAAAAGTGAAAAAAAAGAAAGGCTGAGTGGTCTTGGGACGCTGGACCCCGGGACAAAGTCCCACTTGCAGCGGTTTAGTCCTCAGTTCGGGACCCTGTGTTTTGTGCGACACGTTTTCCTGACCGCTGATTCACATTGATCGTAGGGCGCATGGTCGGTTATGTTTTTCTTCGAACAGAATGGATTGAATGTTGCTATGTAGCGGTTTCCCATTGGCTGTTATAGTCGGAATGAGCTCTTTCACTCGCAGGGAACGGTCCTCATCCGTAGCCTGACCCCAGTCGGGCTAGACGTGGGGGCCGTCCATCGTCTTGTATTTCCACAGAAACTAAAAGTTTTTCCCGACAATGCCGCTGCCATACCCTTGGTTACCAGACTGACCGGCCTTTCATCATTACTGTCATTCAGCACGTTCAAATCCTGTTATTTTTCGCGATTTAACCCGCCGTTTGTCAACCAGCCGCATATTGCCACACGAAGTCACACAGTGTCGTGCAGTACTGGCTACGGGAACTAAACCGCTGCAAGTGGGACTTGGTCCCCGGTTTCCAGCAGGATATTTCCTTCCCTTGGTAACACCGAGGTCCCCGCTCGACCACTTTTGTTTTTAAATATAAAGCGACAACTTTCCAAAAAAAAACAAAAAAGAAAAAAAAAAGAAAGGGAAAAGGCGGCTCCGTGGCACTCCGGATGTAGCCCCAGAGCCGCCTGCTGCGCACTTAATGCCAACCCTTGATACCTCTGATTGGTATTAGCAGGATCGTTCGCCAACACGAGTGTGAGGGCACACTCATTGACGAGCCTTCTGACCCCTGTGACACGAATTTCGCGGTCTCCCCCCCCCCAAAACAAATAATGTTTTAGAAGCAGGTACTTCGCGGTTACAGTGCCTCGCCGCACCACTCACTAAATGCACAAGAGACAAAAACTTGTACGGTGTACCTTTGTGTACCTTTCCATCTTCGTTGAGCAGATTCATTCTCATTTGCTGAGTGGTGTGGTAAGGGCCGCATTCATCTAACGAGGGCCTCGCCGCTCGAGTTTTGCCAAACTTCAACATGTTTAACGTATCCGGACAGTATTCGGTCTCTATACGTTGAGAATGTCAACAACGAAAAGCGGGTGCGTGTGTGAATATGTGTGTGTGTATGTGTATGTATCTGTGTGTATGTGTGTGTATGTGTGTGTGTGCGTGTGTATGCATGTATGTGTGTGTGTGTGTGTGTGTGTGTGTGTGTGTGTGTGTGTGTGTGTGTGTGTGTGTGTGCGCGAGAGAGAGAGAGAGCAATTTTATTCTTAGTTTC